AGGATAGGCTGTAGAGTAGGTAGGGCGCCTGGCGCCATTCACAAGAGAGAGCTACATTTGGGTTATGCTGTTGGTGTTGCCCTGTTGGGCATGGACATTGACTCACGATTCTTCTGTATCATTCTCAATGGGATGGTTACTCGGTTCCATGGGCTATCTGCTTTGGCTTTGAATACTTGGACTTCAGTGTGATTTTGCATTCTGGATTTCTGTGCTTCGTCCATACTCATGTTCCTTGCATTTCTGATATATTTTTTTTAAATACAAAAGTGGTGTGGCGGGTAAAGTACAGCGGAGTACAACACTGCAGTCAGACTCGCTTTCTTCTTCGCTTCACATACATGCAAACAGATGGCGAATCACACTGGCGCACAGCGCCCACTCAAAACTCAGAGATATGGAACTTGGGAAAACAGTTCGGGCGCAAACTTGCTTCAACAGGCTATATGGCGCTTCAGCGCCTGTACAACCCAACTCTGGACACTGTCTCCAACACCACCGTTCGCACTCACTCAACTCTGGATCACCCTGAATACCCCACACACTTACACACTCTTGTGTCTCTCTCCTATCTACAGCGGCCATGGCCGCTTCACCACTAACTATAGCTACGCTAACTTCTTCCAGCCCTCTTCAACCTCGGGCGCTCTGCAGACCGCCTCGCACAAGCCGCTTGAGACAGCGCTTACACAGCGAATGAATGAATCCCTGAACGCTGCCTCTTGATTTATACTTCTGTTGATCGCTGGTCTGCCCCTTTCCTCGAGGCCCTCGGTGCACACAGTCCCACACAGTACTTGCTTGACTGGACTGCCACTGACTGGACCGGTACCGCTGACTGCATGGTGTTGCACTGCCGACTCGATGCAGTCGCACTGCCTACTCGATGCAGCTGGACCTACGACTTACCTACGGACCTCTTGCCTAGCAGTTTCGACCTCTACACATCTGTAACCCCTACTTGACAGATCTACAGATCGAACCCCTACAACTACAGGGACCTATGACAAGGTACAGTCACTACTAGAACACAGGTCGCCGGTTCAAAACACACAGGGGTCTACTCGATACTGTACACGGGTGCAGGTAAGGTCTAGGGATTGAACCCTGGGATCTGCATCTGCTTCTGCAAAGGTGAAAACCGTTTCAACACGGAGTGTGCCTAGAATTTCAGGGCAGCAGAGTGGAAATGGCCAACCTAACACAGACATAGCACTAATGGGGGGGCCTGCATTATATGCTGCGCGTAACATGAGCAATGACAAGAGAGTTAGAGTGAGGGAGGGTATTCTCTCACTACTACCTTTGTCACCAGAATAGAACACCTGGTCATAATCGCTGCATCTGGCCGGACAGCTACTCCAAATGCGGAGATAAGGACTGGGCGTTCTATTATTTGGGTGACGACGGCAGGACTTTTATGGATGTCTTTCTCCGATCGTAAATATTGGCAGAATCTAGATGAAGAAGGCCAACCGTCTTCCTGCGAATTAGAACACATGGTCATCATGAATTTACAGAAGCGATTTAAAAAAAAATAAAAAAATTCCGGTCTGGACTGTGATGATGAAGGTGCACTGCGTTCAGAGGAAGACGGCAGAACAGATATGTTCTCTGAGGTGCCTTAGAGGGGGGTCATTTTAACAAAGGGGTAACTTCAGTACAGTCACAAAAACAGTTTGAAATTACTAAATTAGTAAATTACACTTCGGGCATTCCCCCGAACATAACACCCCCTCACGCAACCCTACCTGACCGGAAAGCTAGGTTGTATACATTGCCAGAAGTGTGATTTGAAACTTTCTTTTTTCCCAAACTGTATTTTCAACCTCTTTTTGTGACTCCCGCGTCGTTTCCCTTTTTAACAATTACCGCTGGTACTGTTCACATGGACTTGATTTGAGGTGGCATGCGCACACTATGCTGTTCTGCTGGTTCTCCCATCTTCTGAGTGTCTCCCATCTTCTGAGTGTTATGTTCGTTGTGTTCATATAGGTACGAGGGGCAGAGAGACAATCTGTATGATCAGGCATTTAACTTGGAGCAAGTGGCATTTGCAACACAGGGAATGAAGGATAGCATGCAAACGGTGCGTTAGTTCGTTGTTGTTGTTGTTGCTGTTGTTATAGTTTTTTTTTTTTGTTTTTGGCAGTGTTGCACGCGCCGACCGGTCAGCTGGTCGGTACCTACCGGTCGTGGGGTCGTCGGCACCCCGCAAAAAAAAAAA